AGACCTAGAAATGAACCCACACACCTATGGTCACTTGATCTTTGACAAAGGAACTAAAACCATCCTGTGGAAAAAGGAATCCATTTTCAACAAATGGTGCTGGTTCAACTGGAGGTCAGCATGTAGAAGAATGCAAATCAATCCATTTTTATCTCCTTGTACAAAGCTGAAGTCCAAGTGGATCAAGGACTGCCACATAAAAGCAGATACACTGAAACTAATAGAAGAGAAAGTGGGGAAGAGTCTCAAATACTTGGGCACAGGGGGAAAGTTCACCAATGGCTTATGCTCTAAGATCAAGAATTGACAAATGGGATCTCATAAAATTGCAAAGCTTTTGTAAAGCAAAGGACACTGTCAATAGGACAAAATTACAACCAACAGATTGGGAAAAAATCTTTACCAATCCTACATCTGATAGAGGGCTAATATCCAATATATACAAAGAACTCAAGAAATTAGACTCCAGACAATCAGATAACCCCATTAAAAATGGGGTAAAGAGCTAAAAAAAGAATTCTCAATTGAGGAAACTCAATTGACTTAGAAACATCTAAAGAAATGTTCAACATCATTAATCATCAGGGAAATGCAAATCAAAACAAACAACCCTGAGATTCCACCTCACACCAGTCAGAATGGCTAAGATCAAAAACTCAGGTAATAGCAGATGCTGGCAAGGAAGTGGAGAAAGAGGAACACTCCTCCATTGTTGATGGGATTGCAAGATGGTGCAACCACTCTGGAAATCAGTCTGGCAGTTCCTCAGAATATTGGACATAGTATTACCCAACTACACCACTCCTGGGCATATACCCAAAAGATGCTCCAACATATAACAAGGATGCACGCTCCACTGTGTTCATAGCAGCCTTATTTATAGTAGCCAGAAGCTGGAAAGAACCCAGATGTCCTTCAACAGAGGAATGGATACAGAAAATGTGGTACATTTATACAATGGAGTATTACTCAGCTATTAAAAACAATAAATTCATGAAATTCTTAGGCAAATGGGTCAATCACCATAAATGGAGAAACTAAGATATTCCATGAAAAAACCAAGTCCAAACAATACCTTTCTACTAAGGATTGCCCTACAAAGGATACTAGAAGGAAACTCCAATGCAATGAGGCTAACTTCACTCAAGAAAATACAAGAAACAATGTCACACCATTAAAATAGCAAAACTAATAGAGGTTATGATACAAATGGATCTAACAGACATCTGTAGAACATTTCACCCAAACACAAAAGAATATACCTTCTTCTCAGTACCTCACAAAATCGTCTTCAAAATTAAGCATATAATAGATCACAAAACAAACCTCAACAGAAACAAGAAGATTGAAATAACCCCATGGATCTTACCAGATCACCATGGATTAAAGCTGGACTTCAACAAAAACAGAACAGAAAGCCTACATATTCATGGAAACTGAGTAACTCTGTATTCAATAATCACTGGGTCAGAGAAAAAATAAAGGAAGAAATGAAAGATATTCTAGAATTTGATGAAAATGGGACCACAACATACCCAAACTTATGGACACTATGAAAGCAGTGCAAAGAAAAAAGTTCACAGCAGTAAATGCCTTGGTAAAGAAGTTGGAGAGTTTTCATACTAATGAATTAAAAGTACATAGAACAAAAAGAAGACATGGAATCTCTCGATTTAAATAATGCTTTATAGACTTTGAATTTTTTAAATGTCAATGAGGTAGATAACATAACTGCTAAAATACACTGGATTATGGAAAGGACTGCTAAATTAGATAAACATAAATATATCCTAGCTTCAGAATGGAAGGTAAGAAATATGCTGTTTTGGGGAAGAGAATATGCTCTTGTTTCAACAGAAAAAGAAAAGCTATGGATTCCCTCCAAATTGATAAAAATTACATATGTCAGAGGAAGACTCCTTGAAGATCCTCACCACAGACATGAAAGAAATCACAAAGACTAACAGAGCAGGTAACTTGTCTCACTGCTCCCTCTGCATGAGAGCAGTTCTGGGACTGATTGAGACAAGAAAATGTGTCCAGCCAGAACCTCAGCTAAGCATAGCCAATAAATCTTGTTGGCCACAGAATTAGCAAAACTTACTATGCCAACCTTTGTCCAGGCCAGCTGGACAATCAAGTGGGACCCTTAGACCCTGTGGAGAGGACTGAGATGCACGAGAAAATAAGGAGGCACAGCAAGTCAAGAAGTCTGATCAAGTTGGCAAAGATTTTATTGTTCACACAGGTTATATACTCTGAAAACAGGATATGGGGAGGGGTAGGAAAGGAAAGAGGGCTTTGCAGGTGGAGGAAGCTAGCTGCAGCTGTGGTGTCTAACTAGGTTGTTCTCACAAAGCTTTGCCATTACCAGGGGTTCTAAAAACATCTACCTAGCAGGATGTTGACTAAATATAAAGATCCAGAGGAAGGGTTACTAAGGTGGGTTGCTATGAGGCCTTGTTTGAAGTTCTGAGAACTGACAAATGAATCATGGAAGGTAAGCAGAAAGAAGAACAGTAGATAGGAGAGCCAAGGATGAGTGTTAGCCAAGAGAAAGGCCTTGCCATGGCTTCCCACAAACTTTTCAAATGGCATAGATAAAAACTTATATTACAGTTTGGTTATACATTCAGAACTAACTTATAAAGACACATTCTTTCACTTCTGCATATAAAGAGCAGAAAATCATCTTTAACTGAATTGTGCATATGGCTCGTTCTATACATATTATTACAGAAATGTATATTACCTTTAAAAGCCTATATGTTCACAGAGAAAAACAACCAGACAAGTAGCCCTGAGAAGAGCCACCCCTGAAGCTGCTAAGACACATTTATTCCAGCATCCTGCCTGATCCTATCTCAGACTGTCTTAATAGCTGTTTCATCAAAGCCTGATTCCAGGACAACTTCAAAGATGGCTGCCAATTCCAGTTGGTCCAATCTTACAGACTGTTCCAATCAAGGCTTCAGGGGAATTCAGGAATAATAGGAATAAAGGGTAGATTATTGAATTTACTCAAACTATAGAGATACAACAAGCTAAAAATCTTACATTGGTATAGATCTTTGTATATTAATACAAAATTGAGGTTACATTTTGTTACTTTGGTATAGATCTTTGTATACTAATGAAAAATTGAGGGTATGTTTTGCTACAACATACTATGTATATATTTTTGAGGTGATTCTTAAAATTGCAATATTAAGTTTCAGTCCTTTTAAAAGCTGCTATTACAAACCATTTAGGGTAATTAAATAATGCAAGTTAATAGTTGGTCAGTCAAACTCCTGGTCATGTTAGATGCTAGTCTAGTTTATTATGGAAGTATGCTTCCAAAGTTGAACATATAATAGTTAGAAAAGAAGGATTGTTTGTCTATTCAGATACGTTACAGATAGCTAGATAGATAGATAGATAGATAGACAGATAGAGAATATGGTATTTAACGATGTTTCATTAATTTAAGCCTTTTTTGACAATGAGATGCTCTTGTCAGCATCCCCATTTTACTTCAAAGAAGATGATGAACATCAAAGAATCTTTTTATAAAGTTACTTCAAATGGTCATCTTTTTAGGGTATGTCTGCATTCTGTTTGCAGGAATTTTATTGAGTATTTTTGAGTCTATGTGCAGCAGGGCTATTGTGCTGTGTTTTGTTGTTGTTGTGTATTTACCTGCTTTGGGTATTAGAGTGATATTAGGTTTGTGAAGCTTAGAGGCGCTTCCTGAGGGTATAATGCCAAAAACTAGCATCATCTGTAAACACATGAAAAATATTTCTACACTCTGTCTTAGTTAGCGTTTCTATTGCTATGAAGAGACACCATGACACAACATCTCTTATAAAGGAAAACATTTAATTGTGGGTGGCTTAGAGTTCAAAAGTTTAGTCCATTGTCATCATGGCAGAGAGCATGGCGGCATGCAGGCAGGCATGGTACTGGAGTAGGAGCTTGAGAGTTCTACATCTGGATCTGTAGGCATCAGGAAGAGAGAAACACTGGGCCTGGCTTACTCATTTGAAACCTCAAAGCCTACTCCCAGTGACACACTTCCTTCACCAAAGCCATACGACCTAACCCCTGTCAGGTAATACCACTTCCAAATGACTGAGTGTTCAAATATATGAGATTATGGGGGTCACTCCTATTCAAACCATCACACCTGAATACTGCTATGTGTGCCTACTTACCACCATTACCACTGCTTGTGTAGTCTAGACTACAGCTATCACCTTCAGCATGGTTCTTCCTCTTTCTTTGCTTCTATCTATCTATCTATCTATCTATCTATCTATCTATCTATCTATCTATCTATCTATCTATCTCTACAGACATCAGAGTCTACTTTACAAAGCATGGATTAATTTATAACGTTTCTGTGATCTAAAGATTTCTCCCCAATTCCCTTGAGAGTCAAACATGAGGTCATCCTACCTGACCCTAAGGACCCTATGTGACCTAGTCACCATCTCCATCAGATCATCTCCTACCATGGCAACACAAGCCTCTGGATTTTATCCTTCCTGAGTTCTTTTAAATCTGTATGTGGCTGGCTCCTTTCAACACATCAATCTTTCATAGGTCAGCCCCAAAGAAATCATCCTAAACCATCCGTCAGTTGTAGCATCCTTGTTCTCAGAGTCTCAATGTTTTTACTCTAGCTTGCATTCTTCAGAATATGTAACAGTATCTGAAATGCAGTTTAATTGTTGTATGTCACTTCTCTTCTGACTACTCACTAGATTTCATCCTCATAAGGATTTGATATATTTTGTGTCTCTTGCACCTAGAACAAATTTTGCACAGTGCAAGTGCTCAATAATTTCTTCACAAATACATGAATAAGCAGATGACATATTAATTTTAAAGAATAAAGAAACTGCATTATAATACAAAAAATAAGTTGTACAGTGATAGAGTCAATGAATTTATGGTAAGAAAAAAAAAAACATGTTCTAACACCCACGTTTTGCTTCCTGTATTAATATAAGGTCGTTTTATTTGACTCACAAGCAACAGATGGATATTGTATCTACTGAGAAGAAAAATGGGTTCGTGAATAAAATTCAGCAGGTAGGATGACAGAAATGACTTAGCTAGTAATTAGATTTAATTTTTTAGTTAATATATTAAGTATACAATAAATGTTGAACACTTCTAAAATAGGGTTTTCCTAAGCTACTATGACCACTCACAGAAACCAATTCAAACAGTTTTTAGTGGTCCTAATGCTGAATCCTGTAACACAGTTCCTCAAATAGCAGGGACCCCTCCCAAACATAAAATTATTTTTTCACATTTTTATTGCATATTTTATTTACATTTCAGATGTGATCCCCTTACCCCATTTCCCCACACACATACACCCAGGAACCCCCTATCCCATCCCCTCTCCTCCTGCTTCTATGTAGATGTGCCTCCACCTACCCCCTCACTCCCACCTCCCCACCCTCAAATTCCCCCACACTTGGCGTCCAGTCTTCATGGGACCAAGGATCTCCTCTCCTACCTGTGCCTGGCAAGGCCATCCTCCCTTACATATACAGCTGGAGCCATGAGTCCCTCCCTATGTGCTCCCAGGCTGGTGGTTTAGACCCTGGGAACTCTGGTTGGTTGATATTGTTGCTCTCCCCATGGGACCACAAACCCTTTCAGCTCCTTCAGTCATCTCTCTAACTCCTCCATTGGGAACCCCATGATCAGTTCAATGGTTAGCTGTGAGCATCTGCCTCTGTATATGTCAGGCTCTGGCAGACCTCTAAGGAGACAGCTATATCAGGCTCCTGTCAGCATGCACTTCTTGGCATCCACATAAGCGTCTACCTTTGGTGACTGAACATGGGATGGATACCCAGGTGGAATGGTCTCCAAACAGCCCCTCCTTCAGTTTCTGTCCCACACTTTGTCTTCATATTTACTCCCATGAGTATTTTGTTACTCCTAAGAAGGACCAAAGCACTCTCACTTGGTCTTCCTTCTTCATGAGCTTCATGTGGTCTGTGAGTTGAATCTTGGGTATTGTAAGCTTTGGGACTAATATTCACTTATCAGGGAGCGCATACCATGTGTGTTCTTTTGGGATTGGGTTACCTCACTCAGGATGATATTTTCTAGTTCCATCCACTTACCTAAGAATTTCTCGAATTCATTGTTTTTAATAGCTGAATAGTACTCTATTGTATAAATGTACCACATTTTCTGCATCCATTCCTCTGTTGAAGGACATCTGGGTTCCTTCCAGCTCCTGGCTATTATAAATAAGGCTTCTATGAACATAGTGGAGCATGCATCCTTGTTATATGTTGGAGCATCTTCTGGGTATATGCCCAGGAGTGGTATAGCTGGGTCCTCAGGTAATGGCATGTCGAGTTTTCTAAGGAACTGCCAGACTGATTTCCAGAGTGGTTGCACCATCTTGCAATCCCACCAACAATGGAGAAGTGTTCCTCTTTCTCCACATCCTCGCCAGCATCTACTATCACCTGAGTTTTTGATGTTAGCCATTCTGACTGGTGTGAGGTGGAATCTCAGGATTGTTTTGATTTGCATTTCCCTGATGACTAAGGATGTTGAACATTTCTTTAGGTGCCTCTTGGCCATTCAAGTTTCCTCAGTTGAGAATTCTTTATTGATACTTCATAACAGTAATTTTGCTACTGTTGTGCATTGTAAAGTAAATATTTTTGGAGATAGCGATTTGCGAAAGGGGCTGCAGCCCACAGGTTGAAAACTAATTTAGTTCCTACCAGAGTCCTAAGTCCATTAAACAGCACAGATGACTTATGTGAAATGAATTGGATCTGGCTTGGTTATTTTTCGTGTGGTTTGGTAGCTTATATTAAGAATAACTGTTCAGTGGACATGTAAATTACTTACGGAAATATAACCTTTCTGCTATTGTGTGGTATCTGTAGAGCATGACAATTATTCTACATTAACATTAGTGTTATTTCAAAGTGCTTGAGTTGGATTGATCATCAGGAGGACTCTCTAGATATTTTACTTGTTTTTACCGATTTTTCTTTGTCTTTAAAGTTTTTACAAAGTCTTGCTTTTATTTTTATTTTAGAATTTTTATGTCAAGTCTTCATCCTTATGGAAATTCAATATAGACAGTTTCCCAAACTTACATTAAAAGAATTAGTATAAGTATATAATCACAAATGTAAACCAAGATTTAGCCAGAGGCTACTCAATGATGCATACATTAGGATAGCAGAACTTAGCGAGTGGGAAATCCGAACTAGAGCTGAAAGAAGGGCATTAGTTACGTGAGCACTAGTGTTGCTCACAATACACTATTGAATGGAAAGCTCTGTACAATGTATGTAATAGAGGCCACTCATCTATGTATACACATGAATGACTGAGGTGTTTCTTAACTACTAGCACTGGAGGGAAAGTGTCTCTTTCTTGCCCCCACATACACAAGTTGAGTCCCACAGTCCACCCTTTGCATCAATATTCTCTACTTAAGAGTTTCTGCTTCTGTTTTGCTCCAAACTAGCAGGGATATGAAATCCATCCTTTTATTGAGTTTCAGAAGCAAATTTAGCAATATCAACCATTCCACAAGCTATTGCAAATTTTAGACTTTTTTCCCTGGGTATGAGGAAGATCTACTTCAACATCTCCTGAGTCTTCCACCACATCAACCAGCCTCAGGGTACCAACATCCTGCTATCTGCTTCTATTCATCTAACAGTCTTTAGAATCCACACATTAAATGTGACCATGCAGCATTTATCTATCTATGCCTAAACTATTTTACTCAACACATTACCCAAGTTCATACTCTTTTGTTTTTAACCAACAACAGGGTTTCCTCCTGCTTAGTGGTCAAAAAAGAATTGTATTATACTTGCATGTTACATTGTCATTATCATTCTATTGAGAGACACTTAGGGTTGATTGCCTACATTAGCTATTGTGAATAGTCTATGGCAAACATTTCTTTGGCCTGGTAGTACATTGCTAACCTAACCTATTTATTATAAAATGCCATATATACATAGAACAGTAAATACATGTGCATAAATGTACTATATATATTCTTATGAATATAATTTTTAAATTTTTAATGATATAAGTTTATCTTTTCCATTTTAGCTAATTTCTTTTTTGTAGCCTATGTGACACACCTATTCTCTGTGATTATCTCTTAGACCTTCCTGACTTAGGTCTCCAAACCATCTGGAATTTGCATATGTATCTGTGTTGTGAAATCAAAGTCCAGGTTCATAATGTTCCCAATTAACCAAAGCCAGTCCTTTCATCTACTGTACTACTTTGTGCTATTGCTGTAAGCCAAGAAGAAATCACATCATAAACGTGTGCATAGATTTAGACTTTCTGTTCTCATCTGGACTACGTACCCTCCTCACAGTATAACAATACTGTCTTAGTTAAGTTTAAAATGAGCCTTCCTAGATAAAAGAAGACAGTTTTAACTAGTCCTAGAGCTCTGAACTTCTTCTGTGGTCTGTCAGAAAGTCTGTTTGGATTTTGACTGGGCTTCTCCTAAGTCTATGAATGGCCTTTGGAGGGATTTCCTATCTCTACAGTATGGAAGCTTCTAGTCCATGAAGATGGCTTATATTTCCTTTGTATTGTTAGAGTCTGTGAATGGCTGAAGAATGATAGCCCAGACTCAAATAGTATGTAAAAACAAAGAGTGTTTACTCTTGCATGCAGGGATCCAATTCTATCAAGATGGAAGGATCTTGACTGAATTCGAAGATTCAGTTTTAAAGCCAAAAATGAGGAACATTAGAGAGGGGCAGATGATCTCTATCTTGATTAGTAGGTTCTATATCTGGGGGTCTGAGTGATGCTCTGGCTCAGACTAACTATTCTTGTTTCATGCCAAAGAAGGGTAGCTCTTGACCTCCTGGCTCCAAGCTTAGCTAACTATCCTTTCAGAAGCTGGCAGGGTTGAGAGTCCCTTTTACATAAGCCTGGGGTTGTTCCAGTAACTGACTTGTCCAGTTCTGGGAAGTAGAAACTCAGACCTGGTCTCCTGAACTGCTAGTTTGCAGCCTGTCTGTCACAGAGTCAGCCTGTCACATCTTTGATTTGTTTGATTGGTTGTTTTTTTTTTTGTTTTGTTTTGTTTTTAACTATTCAACTACACTGATGTATTTAATCATGTCTTCTGATTTATCCTCATTAGGATTGCTCTCTTCAGCTGTGTTTGTTCCTGTGTTTGATGTTGTTTCTTTTTATTCAGCTTGCTCACTGTATGAGTTTCTGTGTCTCCTAAGCCCTGTGGTAGCTTGTTCCTACCACTCTGTCTCCTCTCTCAGACTCTAGCTGGGTATGTTACTTTTCATGCTCATGCATGTACCTTCAGCCTGTCTTCCTCGCTTTCCTGTGTTCCCTGCTCTCCTCTTCCCACGGCAGCACTCTAGAACAGTATTTGTGCTTTTACTTTGAGCTCTTGTATTTCTCAATTGATAAGCGTTTGGTATCTTTTCCAATCTGCTATCCCATCCTACTGTTTCTGTGGTCTGTTCTTTCTCCCTCTTTTCTTGGTAGGAAACTGTATGCTGGGTACTGTGCATTTAAGATGTTTGGTACCCAAGATGACAATGTTTTCCTCAAAAGTGGATCATCATTGACTTTCTGCCAGACATGTGAGGTGTTACTAGTTAAAGTTACCTTAATCTACTTTAAGTTTCCCCAGATCCCTTTTGGCATCTCAGCCTACAGTGAGGAGGGCCTAGCACTGGATTTTCTCTCTGCATTGTCCTTGTCCTCTAGGCATCCAAGAAAACTTAACCTCGGTTTCTGTGTGGCACTTTCCATATTGGTGAATTTCCTAAGGGTAAGAATAGTTTTATGTGGCAGCCCTCTCTCTGTATAGTTGCTTCCTCCTAGGACAAGGCTGACTCCTCCCCCACTATATTGTTAGTTATTCAAAAATTATAAGAAGGCTATTTCCATCCTATTACTTTCATGGTACTTAACCAGATGGTTATTTTGAACTATCCACCACTCCTACCAAACTTAGCTTTCTTACCTCACTTAAAGCAAAATCTCACTTCATGAAGACATTAATGGGCACAGGTGGTCCTGTTTGTTTGTTGTCAGTCAGTACCACAGTCATCCTCCTGGATCTGTGGGGGGATTGGACTCAAAACACTTCAGTCAAATTCAAAATCCTTTTGACAAAATATTATCATAATTTTTGTATATAACTTATGCCTACCCTCCCATATTCTGTATCTCTACAGTATTTACAAACCTTCCATATCACTTAATCCATGTGAACTCCATTGGTCTATAGAAAATTGAAATTTTATTTCTTTAGAAATTTCTGGAATTTCCTAATTTTTAAATATTTCTATCTACATTAGATTGAAGCAACAGATTTATCATACTCAGACATTTTGGGGGGAACTGGAGGGTGCGGGGGCCCAGTGCTACTTACCATTGAACAAATGTGGCCAGAGGAGCTTTGAGGGAGTGCTTCTGTGAGAGGCTGTTTTCTATGCCCCAGTACACTGTATATTCTGGGGAAAGGACACAGCGTGCTTGCTTTGTGATCAATGATGGTTTATACTATTCCCTTTCATCATGAATTATCATTCTAAGGTTTTATGTCAATGTTTCCAACAGTTCTGTACACTTATCATAAATCCCAAAGGAAGCTCCAAGGCAGACAGTTGCATGCTTGCTGTAGAACTGAGTCACTCTATCTTCGTACAAGATCCTCTGTGTTTTAAGTAGTAAAAACTTCTTGGTACTGTAGACATGCCTCACCACAAGTTCACTCTCTCTAAGGAAGCATGAGCCAATTTCTTCCTTTAATATTCTCTCTCTCGTTCTCTCTCTCTCTCTCTCTCTCTCTCTCTCTCTCTCTCTCTCTCTCTCTCTCTCCTAGATGGGTGAAAAATTACAAAAAATGAATCTAGAGAACAAAGATCTCCGACAGAGATTGAACACGCTCCTCAAACAATATAAGACTACCTTGAAGGAGGAGGAAGCTGTGACTCTGCAGAAACAGAAGATGTCTGAAGAGTGAGTACAGTTTTGTCCGTGCGAGTCAGCTTGCCACAGTTAGAGGTGCCTGACTTGCTGCCCAAGCAGTGACTGTCCATCAAAGCTGATGTTAGTTGTCAACAACATTGACAAAAAAAAAACATTCTTCATCCAATAATCAATAACCACACTTCTAAATCTGCCTTTATGGTGCTAAGAAATGCTTTTCTTATCTAGAACAGCTCAAACCCGTAAAAAATTAAATGTATTATTTACACTTATAAAACAAAGTTGGGAAACAATAATTACTGTGTGAGACTTTCCTGTGAGCCGTAATATCTACCTTTGTCAAAAGCTGACTGCATTGTGCACATTCCCTTTCTCACACACAAGTTTGGTTACCTACACTGACATCAGAAAGCATTCAAGGATACCATTTCTCATTGGCTACATATTGGATTCCATTTGTCAAGAAGCCTTGATAATTCTATCTCTCAAATATTTCTCCACTGTATTCCTTTCTCTTTGTCTATCCTTTTGCTTTGGGTTTCCTCTTAGTTTTCTCTTGTTCTATTGTTCCACCCCCAACTTACCTATCTCCAACCCTTTGACCCAAAACCTTTTTATAACTTATGCCTACCCTCCCATATTCTGTTTCTCTACAGTATTTACAAACCTTCCATATCACATCATCCATATCAAACCCTTGGTCTTACTGGACTACAGAGAGACCAGAAAAGTCATCCTGTCTTATTTGGTCCTATATGCCTGGGACGCCACCCATTGCTGTGTAGACAGTCAATTCTCAATGATTCTTTCCTTATGAATATTATGGAGTTGTATCTTGAAAATATGAAATTATATAAGAAAAAGCTCACTTAGGTATGCAAGACCCTGGGGTAGATCCCCATTGCCATAGCTAAGTCCTGAGATAAGACCTCCTGTACCCATACTTGATAACTCATCTGTCACCCCCTTGACTTAGGCACAGATGAAGTGCACTAACATACTGTCATTTAAAAACTACTTCAACTAAGCAATGAAACTTGGTACAGTATAGAAGACAATATTATAATTATTTTGAATCTAAATTTGATACTAACAGGCATTTTAATGTAAACACACTTTACGATGGCCCACAATAGCATATCTCAGTGCATTCCAACTGAAGCAATCTTTTAAAAACATATCAATGTCGAGCTTAAGCAGAAAATCAACAATACGTTTTGAGTCAGATCTGACTGCATACATTAATGTTGTTCTGAAGAGACACAAATAATGCCATTATTACGGGGTCTGATTACATCATTAAACAGATAACTGAGTGGATTTTACCAAAAAAAAAAAAAGAAAGAAAGAAAGAAAGAGAGAAAGAAAGAGAGAAAAAAAGAAAAAGCTCACTTAGTACACCCAAAGTTACATCTCATAGATTAAAAATGCTGTGTCTAGTTCCATTTACATGAGGTAGTTTGTTCGTTGTTGTAGCATTTAAGCTATAAAGTTATTGGAATTATTGCATCTCATCTGATTACACTGAATACTAGCTGTTAAAACTGGAGTACAAACCTTCCCCAGATCAATAGGTACCACCCAGAATAGCAACATGAACTGTTAACAAGTGACCATAACACTAAAAATTCATTGCCATTGTGGCCTTTTGTTAATCCATAACAAAAATGCCATCAACTGGCTGGCTTTAACAGAAATTTATTTCACAGTTGTAAAGGCTGGGAGCCTATAATGAGAGTGCCAACATGAACATGTTTGGGTTCCAGTGAGGACTCTCTTCCTGACTTACAGATGGTGTTCTCTGTCTCTCTGCCTCTGTCTCTGTCTGTCCCCCCTCCCTCTATCCATCCCTCCCTCTCCCTTTCTCATCCATCCCTACCTCTTCTCATCTTCTCTTTTCTCTCCCCTTACATAGGGAAAGAGTGAGTTTTCTTCTCTTTTCTTGGAAGGGCACTGATCTCATCATGAAGACCCTACCCTCAAGACCTCATCCACAGTAAAACACTTTCCACTTCCAAATGGTCAAGTCTCAATGTTGTTTCTCAAAACATTATCGAAACATTGGATCCCTGTGTCTGAGCATGACTCGTAAACTCAAACATAGAAGCATGTAACTTAGAGAGCACAAGTTACTAACTGACTCGGATCACTCAGACGGAGGCGCTCTCATACAGAGAAACTCTTGTCTCTGTTGGGCCATTTAAACAAAACCACAAATCCCCCTGAGCCAGCACATCAGGACAACAAACAAACAAAGAAAAAAACATAAGAAGTCTCATTGGCCTGCACACCCAGCCAGTAGTGAGTTAATGCTTCTACCCATAAGACAGATACTAAAACCCTCATTTAGAGAGGGTGAAATGGATCTTATCCACGGAAAAAGTTTTTTGTCCAAGGTCCTTGAAATTCAGATGTTCAGCCTGTCCTCAAAGTTTATGTGACTAGCTCATCTTCTGTTTCAGAAAAAGCTTGACGGAAATTATAAATGCTTTGAGAGAAGCATGGCCACCTAGACGCTGCTGTGCAACTATTCATGCTGTCCTATGCTAATGCTGCAGTTAGAATTCTTTCAGTGGCTTCATAAAGTTTATACATAGAATTTGCATAAAATTTATAGTTCTCAAGCCGCTGAAAGACTTCAGAATCTAATTTTCCCCAACTCCTCTAAATTTTTTTAATTTAATAATTTTATTTTATGTGTATGGATGTTGTGATAGCATGTATTTATGAGCACCTCCTCCTGGTGCTCAAGGAGGGCAGAAGAGGGCATTGGTTCCCTGGAGTTATGGATGGCTGTGAGGTGCCACATGGGTGCTGAGAATCAAACCCAAGTCTTCTTCAAGAATAAGTGCTCTTAACCACTAAGCCAACTCTCCAGTACCCAATTCCTCTTAAAAGAATTTATACATGGAAATTTTTCTTGCATTGGGAAATGAGGGTTTTTTTTTTAATTTTGCCTATAGTGTCTAAGCCTCTACATTCAACCTCCTGTACCTCAAGATGATCATTTTTAACTTTCAGTTAAATGACTGCCACTTCTTTTTCTCATCTTAGACATCAAAAACAGGTAACGCTTATTACTCAGAAAGAAACCTTCCTATCACAAAGAAAACTCGACATTAAAAATATGGAAGAAGGATTTGGAACCCTTCACGATCTTAACATGTACGTTTTGAGTCTTTGCCACTTTAAACTTTTCTTTGTGTATGCTTCTTTAAACTGGAACAAAATGTCTATATATGTAATTCATGTAGAGTATTATAGGGAAGTAACTTTATAACTAGATCTTTCTGTTTTGAAGTTCAGAAAGGTCGCTGTCTGTGCATCTTTCACCGAAGGAGTTGGCAGATGCTACAAAAGCTGGGTGACACAAGGGAGGGAACAGATTCAGGGCCAGGGACCAGCATGCATTTGATCATTATCTCAATGTTCTTCACCAATATCCTTCACCTTTGCCATTCTTTGTCATTTAAATTCCTTGCCTAACAAAGTAGTGCCTGTACCCAAATTTAATTTTTAAAAGTAAAGACGTATAATTTATGGGAAAAGTTATCCTAATCTCGTCACAGAAATAATCATTAATAGCTTGCCACATATACTTTCAAATGCATATTATATATGTATATACATATATATATTGTGTGTACATTTAAAATTGGATTTTATTACTCTATAATATGACATTACACTTAAAAATGTATCTGTGCAAAGACTGAAGCATGGCTCAACACACTTGCCTTGCACACTCAAGCTCTAGGTTCAGTCCTGGCACCATAAGAGCCAATGAAGCAGAACTAAAGACAGAGTAAGACTCAAAACTTTGAGACTATAACAAGAAAAGGAAAAATCATTTTAAATACAGGCATAAACTACAACTTTCTGAATAGGACTCCAACAGTCAAGGCATAGCAATGAAACCTGACAGACAGAAGTGTATCAAGTAATAAAGTTCCTTGGCAGCAAAGATAACAGCTACCATTGTGAAAAGAAAGGCCAGAAAATAGAAGGAAATCTTTGCCAGCTGCTTGTCTGATAGAGGATCACTATCCAACACATATAAAGAACTCAAAACTTTAAATACCCAGTGAACAAATAGTCCATTCAATGAATGTGCAAATAATAATTAAATAAACTTCTCCAAAAAAGACACACAATTGGTCAACTAATACATTATAAACTTCCATCCTTAACCAATAAAGGAAATGCAAATAAAAACTACATTTCACTCCAAGTCACTCCATTTCATTCCAATAAGAATCTATCATCAAGAAAGTAGACTATGGGGCAGATGTGTAGAGAAAAGGACATCTACATACTGCTGATGGGAATTCCCTTCTATAAGATGGCCACTAAAACTTTTAGTTGTTTTACAATTAGCTATTCATTTTAAGAAATACATTAAGACTTTCTTATGTATTTGAAAAGTATAAATATAAAATCCAATATGTATGTATTTTTGTTGTTTTCAGAGCAACACAGGAAGTATATCGAAAGCAAATAAAAATCATGACTGAAAATCGGGAAAGAGAAATTCAGAGATGGTAATGTGTGTATGCATGTATGGTGTGTGTGTTTGTATCAATAGTATATGTTATGAATAATTCCAGTAGAATTACTATTCTAAGTTAAAATATGTAAATTCACTCTGATCTAGATGTGTTCATTAGATTGTTTGGGGGTTATGATTTTTTGTTGTTGTTTTTGTTTTTGTTTATTGTTTTTTCTCTTAAAAAGGAACAAACAAAAAAACCCATATTTTCCATCTCAATTGATGGAAATCACCAAAGATTAAGATTGCCATTATTGGCACAATGTTTGCTGTCCATCCAGACTTCTGTGCCAATTCATAGTAAGGATAATATGAGGAACAATAGTTAAGGTCACAGACTTTCACGTGGACCACTCTGCCTCAGGAGTCCTAACCATGGCTTGCTTAATCTCTTCTCATTTCTCCAGCTGGAAAGCTGGCAATGATGGTGGGTCCCTCCTTACAAATTTGTTATGGTTGTCAGAGACAATCCATCAAAAGTATGTAGATCAATGTACTCAGTAAGCGCTCACTAGTCCTTAGATATATTTTACTAGTACTGTTGTTATTAATGTTGTAATTTATAAAACTCAAATTGTACATTTCTACCATTCTCCAAAGATAACAGTTGTGGCAGAGAGAAAAGTTTGAGAATCTAAAACCCATTAGCACTTTGGGTAATTCCATGATTATTTCTGCCTCTGCCTCTCCTTTCTCCACCCTCCCTGGAGCCTGCCTCATTTCAGTCTTCAACGGAAGAGGAAAGCAACCCAGTGTGGTTTCTGCAGGGTGCTAATGGGCATCAGAAGCACCACTCACTCGGACAGTGCTTACAATCTGCTGAGGCAGCCAGCACTCTGCCTTCTGACTCAGTTAGCATCTACAGTGTACTTTGATGATGACCCACGAGACACTGTAAAATTGTGGTTGGGCTAGTTTTGCTTTGTGTTTTGGGGAAACCGCTGTGCCACTATAATTAATGGTCATTCTGTTACATTCCTATCTCTAGTGTCATAAATCAGTGGAGAATACTCTGTTCAAAAAAAAGACACGAACGTTGGCTACTTAAGATAAAGATATCCTTAAAAAAAATTATAACTGAAATTGAGATTGCAGAAGAAAAGAGACTCAAGTTACTCCAAGAGGTAAGGGAATCCAAAGTGTTTAGAATTATGGTAATCCCCTACACAGAAATGAGTCATACCCACTACAATATTTAAGTAAGTCTTATTTTACTAGAAGATATTTTCTTTTCTCCTGATTTGATAGTTAGAGTGAATTATTAGTTTTCTTTCTTTAGAGATCTATCCATTTGGTGTGTGTTAACTAGAGATGTTTAAATCTTTTTATTTTATTACATGTATTTATTTATGTGTGTATGAGCATATGCTGAAGTGAAGGGCAGAGGACAACTTCAGGGCATCAGTTTTCTCTCTCCACCACATGAGTCCCAGAAATAAAACTCAAGTCACCAGGCTTGGGGGCGAGAGTGTCTACCTGTGAAACCATCTAGCTGATCCTAGAGAGATTCAGCAAATGAAGCACCAGTGCTCCCTAGGGTGTGTCTTTGAAGCATGGAAGCAGGTGCTTGCTTCCCGGGCATCCTTTACCACTCCTATGTGTACCCTTCGGATACAACGACTAATCCCTTTAGATACAATTTGGTGGAGAACTAAAGTGCTGAAGGAAAAAGGTCACCCTCCTCAGTGCCTGCTGAGACAATCCAAGGTTTATCAGGCCATTTAAAAATGTAAGACTAACCACAACACAAACAATGACAGATCCCATTTCCCTCCAACTAGACAAAGCGCAGACAGAAGGAGATCAATCGTTTTGTGCACCAGATTGAGAAGATTAAAGAGCAGCTCATGGACAAGGAGAAGGAATATGTCAAAAAAGAAAAACGGTTAATTGAAGAACTAAGCATGTACGAGGTAAGCGTTGGTCTGTGTGTGTAGCAACCTGTTCGGGTCAGTCAGCAGGGTCTCCAGCGCAGGAGTGAGGATGCACGCTTCCAATTCCTGCTGTGTCCTTCACTATATCCCACTTACTGGAGCTCCAACGTTGAGGCACCACTTTGTAGCCGCCCGAGCTGCCTCACGTTCGGGGGGGGGGGGCACTTTGTATCGGCTCGTTCTGCTGCTCTGGTCTGCGGGTCAGGGCCTAGCAAGAGAGAGAGTGGGGGCGGAGACACGAAGAATGGAGACAAGACAGGGAGTCTGATCAAGTCTCTTCAAGTCTCTGTTTACTGAAAGGAAATCCTGGGTATTTATACCCTTTACCACGTGCCTTGCCCTCGTGGACAAGCACAGCTGAAGGCATTACGTCATGTGCCTTGCAGCGTGGATATCACATGTGCCTTGCAGCTGGCAGCACTAAACAGCAAAACAAGATATGTGAGAAAAACGAGATGTTTATCAGAGTGTGTTTAGCTGTTACAGGCTGTTGAAAACAAGTCTCTTGTCAGGGTATATGGCTCGAGATGGCTGTAAAGATGATAGCCCCTTTCGGCTAGGAGTCGGCTCCCAACAGGTCCCCCTTTTTAAATTTGTTTTCAAAAGGGAAGGCTGGGAAAACTTACGGAAACCGTGCCTGTCTTAGGTTGGAACAAAGGACTCCAGCCTCCCTTTCCCATCTTTGGATACTCAACAGCCATTGGTTGAGCTCCTGTCTTAGGATGGTGAGGCCTCCCAGTTAGGGGCAAGGGTCTTGAGGTGTTCTCTTACCCATCGTTGACTATCCGGCTTAGCGCGTAAGTTAGGGGTTAATCCTCGTCAGTCTTGATGACAGAGGTTTTAGAGTCCCCTACTTCCAGCCTGTAATAATGGACTTGTATGGGTTTCATTTGAGTAGCATCTATCTGTTCTCATACAAAAGCCATCAGTCTGTTGAACAGCATGAACCCGAGAGACAAGAGACTTAATGCTGTCTGAATGGTTGGTGTAAACCATTCTGCCTCAGAGCAACACTCTTCTTTACGGGTAGAGCACAACTCCCTCTGTTGGAGGAGTAAAAAGTATAAGCCTCTTCTATTCTGTAACACTGTTTTCTAAAACTAAATATATATAAGTACAGAACTGATCATAACTTTGATCTTAACAAAACAAGTAAGGAAAATCCCCATTCCTGTCCCAGTCAATCCTAAACCCAAAAAACAACTATAGTAACTGTGGTAATGGGTTCTCTTTTGGGTCTAAACAATGTACCCCACTAAATCATAAATCAGGGAACCAAGAGTCTAATAGAGCCACCCTGGAGGTGTGGGTGGTGATGTCTTCTTCTGCACTGAGAACTTTCCAAGTCAGGTATGCTGGTTGATCCACTCCAGTGAAGCATCTTCATGTTTCCTGCAAAGAAAAAATATGCTTCCCAGGGGATTTCTCCTCCATGGATTTATTATTGCTGTCTATTTGTTTAATCAGTCTCTCTGGCAGCCAGCATGTGGCATCTGCCATTTGAGAATCAGAGGAACCAAAGTATGTATCAGAGAAATCAAGGCCTTGATCCCCTCTCTTAGTACTCTTATGTTTATGATTAGTAGGGATCAATGGGATTAACAGTAGTTGAGCTATCCTCCTTCCTGTAGGAATGGTGACTATATTCTGTATTGCCTTGGCCATTACCTTAATCTCACCTTGATAATCACTGTCTATAACTACAGGAAAAATTTGTAGTCCCTGCATAGTAGCACTGCTTCTTCCCACTATCAGACCAAACATGTTTGGATAGAGTGGTCCAAACACTCCAGTGGGTAAGGCTTGAGGTCCCATTTCTGGGGTTAATACTGTGTGGGTGGCAGAACTGAGGTCTAGTCCTGCACTTCCTGGGGTTGCTCGACTAAGTTCTGAAAGGGGTTGTTGTTTGCTGGTATGAAACTGACTGCCCCATAGGCCCGTTTTGGCTTGTGTTGGTTCGGGGCCTGGGGCTGGCCCCTGTTCCTGTTTCCCTGATTATGGGAAAGGGTGTTTCCTTGTGCATCTGTCTTGGACCTAAATTCACTAGCCCAATGCCTTCCACGTTTGCAAAGTGGGCATAGCCCAGGATGTTTTCTAGGCTGTCTCTGGGTTAACTCATTCTCTGCCTTGCAATCTTTTGCAAAGTGTCCAGGCTTGCCACATTTAAAATAAGCCTTTTTGTCTCTGCTTGCCAAAAAATCTCTTACTGATTGTCCTTTCATGGCAGCTGCCATAGCTAAGCCCTGTTGGTAAGAGGGCCCTATGTCAGAACAGAGTCTGATATACCCAGTAAGGTCTGTCTTTTTCCTATAGGGTCTAATGGCTGCTTGGCAGGCAGGATTGGCATTTTCATATGCAAATTGTTTCACATAATCTACACCTGCCTCTGCATTACCAAAAATCCTTCCTGCTGTTGTCATTAATCGATGAACAAAATCAGAAAATCGTTCGTCAGGCCGTTGTCTGACTGAGGTCAAAGATGCACCAGGGTCTCCCTTTACCGGGAGTTTGCGCCAAGCCTTCATAGCTGCATTTTGAATTTGAGCGAATAAGCCTGGGTCATATTGCATCTGGTTATCACTAGAAGCAAATTGCCCTTCTACTACTAAGGCTTCAAAGGACCAACCATTGCCTGCCTGAATGTTTCTCTTAGCTGTCTCTTTACAATTCTCATGATACTCTGATTTCCAAATAAGATAGTCACCACCACTAAGAACTGTTCTCACTAGAGTATTCCAATCACCAGGAGTCAGCCACTCCTCTGCAACAGATTCTAAGATTGCAAGAGTAAAGGGAGCAGTGGCACCATATTGTGCCACCAAATTTTTTAATTCTTTAATAATTTGAAAATTAAATCCTGTGTGATGTCTCCACACAACCCCTTGAGCATCTCTAGTCTCTGATACAGGGAAAGCCTCAGCCTCTCCCTCCTCTGGCTGATCTGTGGCTGAACTAAAACCAGAGGACAGGGGCTGCCTTTGGACTCCGGGTTGAGGAACACAAGGACCTGGGTGATTTTCGAAATTAGCCTTGCCCTCTCGAGACATCTTCCCTTTCCTTAATTTTTGTAACTGATTAATTAAGTCCCGATACTCTTTCTCTAATTCTACTTGCTGTTTAAGAAAAGAAATTTTGTCCTGCAACTCCTTTCTATGGTCTACAACCGCCATCTCCAGAACAGGAGCATCTGGAGGTGGAGGAGCATAGGGAAGGGGCCTTTGGGAATCGGGCCATTCAGGATCGTAATTTTTGGCTGCCTCTTCCTCTAGGTCAGCACAATCTAGCTCTGACAAATCGATTACTTCAACCTTTGGTCCTATTTTGGATTCTATGCTTTTCTTTTTCTTTTGAACATGAAAGACAGCATTTAAACAGCAAAACAAAAGCAGACAATTGATACACGTAAACAGCAAACAACAAAACAAAAACACAAAGTTGAGTTCAGGCTGACTTATTCCATTATCATTACTATGACCTACTGGTCTCCACACGGCTGCCGCAGTCACCTCTGTTTCACTTCTGAAGTTTCAGTCAACCCTTCTTCCGATAATGTCCCTCACAGGGCCTCTCATTCTTGCCACCCCACGTTGAGCGCCACTTTGTAGCAACCTGTTCGGGTCAGTCAGCAGGGTCTCCAGCACAGGAGTGAGGATGCACGCTTCCAATTTCCGCTGTGTCCTTCACTGTATCCCACTTACTGGAGCTCCAATGTTGAGGCGCCACTTTGTAGCTGCCCGAGTTGCCTCACGTTCGGGGGGCCACTTTGTAACAGCCTGTTCTGCTGCTCTGGTCTGCGGGTCAGGGCCTAGCAAGAGAGAGAGTGGGGGCGGAGACACGAAGAATGGAGACAAGACAGGGAGTCTGATCAAGTCTCTCAAGTCTCGTTCATTGGAAGGAAATCCTGGGTATTTATACCCTTTACCACGTGCCTTGCCCTCGTGGACAAGCACAGCTGAAGGCACTATGTCATGTGCCTTGCAGCGTGGATATCACGTGCACCTAGCTAGCAGTGAGGAGACCACGTGCACCCAGCAGCGTGGATATCATGTGCGCCTTGCAGCTGGCAGCACTAAACAGCAAAACAAGATATGTGAGAAAAACAAGATGTTTATCAGAGTGTACTCAGCTGTCTCGGGCTGTTGAAAACAGGGTATATGGCTTGAGATGGCTGTAAAGATGATAGCCCCTTTCAGCTAGGAGTTGGCTCCCAACATGTGTGTGTGGATGCTTTTGGAGGATTCTGTGAGGGAAGGAGAATGACCTTGTGTGTGACCATGATCATATAAACCTAAAATAAACCTTTGTGTATGAGCCAAGGTAAGATCACAGTCCGTTTCGCATGTTTCTTCTTTTTCTGAAAAAGAAACAGAAATAGGATACATTGTTTTCTGAGTTAAAAACAAAACAAATCCCACCCACATGGACTTCAAATTTCACCAAGCAACAGACAATACACACTGCTAGGAAGGGCGGAGTTGTTTAGGAAGCCGGTGGTAGCTGTCTCCATAAATCAGGGAGCATGTCCAGGAGTAGGTCTCAGAACCCCTCAAGAATTTTCAAAACCCAACCCAGGGTAAAACAAGAGATATTAAAGAAAGTGGAGACAACAGGCATTGAACACATCCAGCCTTCCATACACTATATAATGACAGAACACATGCCCTGAGACTGACTCCCCAGCCCACACTGCCCATCCAAGCAAGGGCATGTACCTTGGAGAAACAGCCAAGGAGACCGAGATCCAGGGTAGAAGCTAAATCAGGGGTTTTCATTGCTTGGGCCAGAAGTAGGCACAAATATGATTTTCAAGATGTAACTTTCCTCCAAACTGCAGTGTACCTGCTTTCTAACTGCTAGTGAAGCTCTACACACTACGCTGACATTTGTTTTGCTTTTAATTTACAATGTGTTGGATATCGTATTATTTATTTTTTTATTGCTGTGATAAAATACCACAACTGTGATAACTTATAAAAGGA